GTCAAGTTGATGCTAACTCAGACTAACCAGGTTTAGGGAGAGACCCTGTCTCAAAAATATGGAGAGTGTTACAGGAAGACACACAACACTGGCCTCTGACTTTCACACACATGTGCACTAGCATCCAAATGTGTATAGGCATAGGCATGAACATAAAAATGCATACACAAAATGAAACAATAAAATAAAATAAGTCAATCTGTGTGCTTGAAACATATTAGGTGTGAAAATATTGTGTGTCCTAATGTGTTATATCAGCTGGTCTTGTACAGATGGAGTCTATTTTGGTATGTATGCTATTCAGTATCTCTGAAAAGAATCCATGCTGTGCTGTTTCCAATGTGTGGCATCCATCAATTCACATTTCCATTTCTGAGGTTGAAATGGAAATCAGCAGAGAGAGTTCTGCTCTTCCCCACAAGTTGTCCTGGTTCATACCCAGAGTCTATCGCAGCCTGTATTCAAGCTGTCTCACAGCACTGTGGCATAGAAAGCTGAAGGAGAGATTTACAAGGGTGAGGAGACAGCTTCTTCATCTTATTTAATGTTTGATTATAATTCTATAGACGAGTCTTTTACACTTGCTTAAGATTTTAGTCACTGTAAACCTGAGGCACAAACCTGAAGTCAAAAGAATTGAGTAAAAGTCTAGTTAAACCCTCTAGACCAGCTCTGAGCCCAGTTTATTATTCCCTGACACACAGGAACAAAAATAGCATTCCTAGGAGCTTGGGGGATATGTCTTAGTTAGGGTTTCTATTACTGTGAAGAGACCCCATGACCATGGCAATTCTTACGAAGGAAAACATTTAATTGGGGCTGGTTTGCAGTTCCAGAGGTTTAGTCCATTATTATGGCAGGACATGACAGTGCACAGACAGACATGGAGCAGGAGAAGGTGCTGAGAGTTCTACATCTCGATTCACAGGCAGCAGAAACAAACTGTGTCTCACTGAGCATAACTTGAACAAAGGAGACCTCAAAGGCCACCTCCACAGTGACACACGTCCTCTAACAAGGCCACACCTCCTAATAGCGTCACTCTCTATGGGACCATTTTTTTCTAACCACTATAGGATAGTTCAGTGGGTAAATGGTACCTGCTGCTAAGCATGAGGGCCTGAGTTCAGTATCTATGCTCTACATGATGGAAGGATACACAAGCTGACCTCTGCCCAACAAATGGGCACCAGGGGATACACACACACCACATGAACACCCCCCACACACACACACACCATATGAACACACACATGCATACATGTACACATTAATACAGTAAATTATTTTTTCAAATGAAATACAATAATTGATTTCTGCAAAAATCCAGGGAAACACTGGAGAAGGGAGGGTGAAGTGTGATTTATGGCTCAGGTGGAAACAGAGATGATAAGTGAGATAAGAGTGACTGTTGGTGCTTGGGAGCAAAGAATTCTGGTGCTGGATACTGGTTGTCTGAACTGGAATCCCCTGTTTCATCAATTGTGGGTCATATGAGGTTGGATAGGCTGCCTGACTCCCCTAGTGCTGTGGCTGAGTACAGTTGGGAGAACCTCCTCCAACCTAACCTTGTTTTTTGCACTAACATCTAGTTGTACCACATGCTCTGTAAAAAACAAAACCTGAAGTTAGCAGTCTAGGGGAGGGGCTCAGATATTGCTGAATTGATAGTTAGCTAATATGCACAAAGCCCTGGTTAGATTCCCCACACTACACCTGTGATGGCAGTACTCAGGAAGTGTAAGCAAGAGAATCGGGAGTTCCAGATCATCCTCAGCTACATAAGGAGTTTGAGGCCAGCCTGGGCTACATGGGACCTGTTCTAATATACATGTACACACACACACACACACACACACACACACACACACACACACACACACACATATATATATAGTCTATATATATAGTCAACAGTCTAGTATGCAGTGAGTAAGGCTTGTAGGTTGTTAGAAATGAAATCAGACATAGTCTTACAATCATCCCCGATTTTATGTATGGAAAAGTATGGCTGAGCTCTGAATATTGTACATATTTATGGTGAGATCATTTTTTTTCATTTCCAACCTAAAAGATAGCTCATCAGGTAAAGGCACCTACTTTCCAGGCTAACAGCCTGAGTGAAGCCCTGGAACCCACATGCTGGAAGAAGAAAACCAAATCCCAAATACTGTCTTCCAGCCTTCTCCTGCATACCTTGGCACATGTGTGTTCAAAGATGGACAGACAGACACACACCCAGAGAAAATAAATTAAAAAAAATAGATAAATACAGGTTTTTAAGTTTTCTTGAAATTGAAATTTCTTTCAAATGCTTTGAAGTGTAAACTGAAGGATTGATGATAGTCTTCATATTCAGAAATCAGAGTCATCAGCTGTGACTATGCCAACACTGCCTCAGTTGGCATTTTGACTTCAACTTCCATGTATTTGTGTTAATGTTCACTGAATTTTGACATAATTCAGAGAGAGGAATGGGTGAGCACATAGTTTGTCATAGAAAGACTATACATTTCTTGAGGTCACTCTCATAATTTTTCAAAATACATTTACTGTTTGGCTAATAAAGAAAATGTTTGCTGTGACAACCACAGAAACCCTGAGGGTCTATCTATTAGCTGAAATGTGGGGGGAGGGTCTTCAATACTAGAGAAAGAGGCCTAGGCAATTATTAGCCAGGGAGTGGTCCTTCATGCTAAGTACTTAAGCTGCGACTGGAAGGTTCAGAATGTGTTTAATTTCATCTGTTAATGAATGCTCACAGGGACTGTTCCATTCTGGTTCACTTTCAGGAGGGTTAAGAAAGTGAGATGGGGTTTTCTCCACCCTACTCCGATTAGAAGGAAAAATATGATTTTCTTCAGACATGTTTGAAGAAATCATCTTATGTTAAATACCCTGTGGTTTTAGTTTTGGCTTTGATTTATTTAATTTATTTTTTTTTTTACAAAGGTACATACTTACTACTACGTTTTCTTTTTTTTATGTGAATGTGTGGCATGCTTGAATGTGTGTATGTGTGTCTGCATGTGTGGGGGAAGATACATGCTCATATACACAGGTATGCAAATTGAGGACCAAGGCTCTGTAACCTGGGTATCTTGTTCAGTTGCTCTCCACCTTTTATATGGATGAAATATCTCTCACCTAAACCAGGTGCTCACTAACTCTGCTAGTCTAGCATGCCTGTTTGCTTGGGGAGTCCCCTGTCACTGCTTCCCTTGCACTGAGATTACAATTAAGCTAGCACACCTGCCTAGGATTTACGTGAGTACTGGTATCCAAACTCCCGTCTTGCACTGCGTGCACATTACCTGTTGAGCCATCACCACAGACCTGTTTTCTTCTATTTTAATATAATATCTTACATGCAAATATTTATAAAAAGGAAAAAGTCTAAAGCATGATCAAGCAGTTCAGTTGGGGTCTGTTGGCAATGAAAAGAAAATTATGAAGGCTTGAAGATTTTCTCTGCAAACTAGTAAACATCACTCAAAAGGGCCCATGTCCTACATTATTCTGCCCACTCTTAAATTTCTGTGTGTATTATTTTACACTTTTATCTTTTCCCATGTATAATTTATAATAAGTTTATTCAATAGACATACTAAAAGAAAATGCTACATGCAAAAAACACAAGCATACAAATCAATCTTTCTTTAACTACTCAGAAACTATGGTTCCAGCAGTATCTAGACCTTGTTCACAGTATCTGTCATGGGAAAGCGAGAGCAAGTGGCAGAGGGGAGCTGGAAATCCACTTATATTTTTCCTTTTTGAGAAATTGGTCTTGTGATTATAGTTGTAATAATATGGAAAGCTAAAGAATGCAGTTACCCCATGTACCTGCCACGTGTAGCCCTCTCACTACAGAAAGGGAGGAGTGTCAGTGTACCATACCACCTCTCTTGTTGATGTCATACCCAATACTCAGAACACATTTCAAAGTAGATGAATAATAAGAAGATAAAAAAAATCATCATGGGAACAAACATGTAAGTTGAGGGAAAAGGTGAATCTATTACTTATTCCTCTAAGCTTAGTAGCCCTCTCACATCCTATTCTGAGTAAAATGGTTGATTTTCCACATACCTGTCCATCTTATAAGACACTCTTTAGTGCCCCTCACCCCAGGTTCCAGAGGACTTAAGAATTCGGCAGTCAGTAACGGTTCATATTGATTTATTTTTTCCTACTTGAGATGGAGACAAAAACTTAAGCCACGAGTCTTCCAATTCCATGAGAATGAATAGTTATTATCTACAAAGTTCAAATTTTGTGAATAGTCTAGGAGCCAAGCAGCTGTTGAAAAGTCCGTGTGTGTCTTGGTGCAACAGGCTACATATGAAGTGTGCAGTGCTTTCTCGTGTCCTGAGATTGTGCATTCACCATTCCCTCCTCTGTTCCCTCTGATAAGTAAGAGAACAGTGACTGTTAGTGCTTCCCACCCTGTCCAGGCATGGTCTGCTGGCCTCACCTTTCAGCTTTTCTGTCTGTGTACTGAAAGGCCTTTCTGAACACCTCCTAAGACAGCCTGTCCCCTGGACCACTATTGTAACTTCTGTCTTTCTCTCGTGGAGGTTCGTTGCAAGCTTTCATCGGATTTTCCTTTCCCTTTCACCCAGCATTCTCCACATGAAGAATAAAGGTTAAATGAACAAATGATGCCCATGAAAGGGCCAATTAATGTCTACTTTCACCTTTATACCCATAATGAGATACGGGTGAATCCCCTGGTGCATTCTTAATACAAATTCGGACAGAGAAAAGAAAGAAGTGAAAGGGAAGGGAATGGAAAGAGACTCTGTACACACCTCACTTGCAGTGAACCTGGAGCCCTGAGTTACAGGATCACAATTTGGTTCTGAAAGTACTGGGGGACTGAGTTCAGAGGCAGGGAACAACGGTGCCTTAGTAGGACCTAGTTTCATTGATCTTTGACATACGAAATGGTGACTTTCTAAGGCATTATTACCAGTCTCTCTTTCATCCTATTCCAGGAACTGGTGGTTGGTCCCCAGCAGATTCCAATGCCCAACAGTGGCTCCAGATGGACCTGGGCAGCAGAGTGGAGATTACGGCAGTGGCCACGCAGGGAAGATACGGGAGCTCTGACTGGGTGACAAGCTATCGCCTGATGTTCAGTGACACAGGCCACAACTGGCAGCAGTACAAGCAAGAAGACAGCGTCTGGGTAGGAAATACTTTGTCTTCTAGTGAATAGCAATGAGATGTACTAATGCCAGCCAGGGAATGTTTCTGGCATCTTGCTGTCCCCAGACTGGGGGGCTTAATCACTGTCCTGCTCCTGTTCAGAAATAAGGAAATCACATTTAGACGCTGGTTCCAGTGTAACTCTCTCCCCAGGAAAATCAGTGTGAACTGGAGAGAGTTCAGTGTGTTCCTGCCTTTCTTACATCTTGATATTTTTCTGACAGACTCTGTTATGTTATCTATAAAAATAGAGAAACACACCGACAAAATCTGTCAGTAAGACTGTGTCGTCGCATTTTCTTTCCTTCGTGGTGCTGTGATAAAATTCTACCGATAACAGCAAGGGAAGTGAGAAAGGGATTACTTCAGTTTAGGGTTCAAGGTTACTACCCATCATGGCAGGGAAGTCATGGCAGCAGGAGTGTTAGGGGCCTGGTCACATGGCATCAATAGTCAGAAGGAACAATCAATGTTATGCTAGTGCTCAGCTCACTTTCTCCACTGTTATGCAGTCCAGGATCCTAGCCAGGGGATGCTGCCCCCCACTGTGGGAAGATATTCCCATGTAAATTAACAACATCATGATAGTTTCCTACAGACATGCTCACAGGCTCGTCTCTCAACTGACACTAGATTCTGTCAAATGGACAATTAGCACTCACCATTGTATTGGTTGAGGATATATGTCTACTTATTTGTTTCAATATGTATCAGACATTTTGCATAACTTGCCTAAATAACTGAACAATGTCACTTGTCCAAGGTCACTAAGCATGGGATTTGGCCTGAGGAATCTGTGCTCTTGTCTGACTGTGTGGAACAGCCATCATTCAAGGTTGTAAAAACATTCAAATATAGGAAACACGGCAAAGTTTAGACTTACCCTGGCACTGTGAGCCATGATCAGTTTGGGAGTAATGCACCTGCTCTGAGTTATAAAACAGCTTTCTTCCCTGCTGCAGCCCCGGCACGTGCCCTTCGACACATGCCCTTCGTGTAAGCCAATGGTGGTCAGGAAACTGTAAAGAAAAGAAAGCAGGGACAGGAGTGAGCACAGGGTGGCTCTACCTGGAGCTGTCTCCAGAGGACAGAGTTGGGGGCTTAGGAAGATGGCTCAGCAGGCACAGTGCTCGCCATCAAAGGGTGGGGATGGAGTCCCGATCCCCAGAACCCACAGAAAAGTCAAGTAGATGTGATGGCATCCTTAGAGTCTCCCAAAACATGCTGGCTAGCCAGACTCACCAGAAAGACAATAGACACTGCCTAAGTAGATAAAAAGTGACAGAAAGATATCTGAAGTTAACCTCGGACCTCTGCACACAGGTGTACACATGTATAAACATACATGTACACATAAACATATATGTAGATATCAAAAAAAAGAAACTTTATGCTTTGAGCAAAATAACATAAACAAATGCTGCTTTTGGTTTAGGAGAAAAACATCACTGATTTTTTCTAAAAGAACATAAATGGGAAGACGTGGTGCTGGCTCACATACTCTTTCTGCCACAGAACCTCTTCGTCTGCAGCTCTGACTTCAGCTGCTCCATCTTTCAGTGTTAGCCCAACCTTGCTGAGATGAATGTATTTTAGCTGCCCTGATGCTTGCTGCCTATGCACCATCTGGGTCTCTAAATGAGACGAGGGGTAAACTAAGCATTCTGACTAGTTACTAAATGGAGTATTGAATATCGTTGTTATCTTTACTTGGGTCACTTATGATATCAGTTGCAATAATCTCACAGAGCATAACTTTTCATTTTGAAAAGACTCTTTGGAGGCTCTTCTAGTTTGTTTCTCAATATTGAGGTCCATATCCATTTTTACAGATTTGTGCTTGGTGTGCTGTTCAGTTTGGAGTGAGAAATAAGCAGTCCTTCTGCCTGGGGAACCATTGGAAACTTTTATGTTGACTTTAGAGGGGAAAATAGATGTGGGATTATTTCTTTTCTCCAGGGTTTTCAATCAGAACTGGTTGTTTTCAGATGGAGTTGCAGTTTTGAGTCATTTTGTTTCCATCTTTAAAAAAAGATCCAAGTTTTATTTTCTTCAGATCTTAGCGGCCTTCTCTCAGCCTCCCTGGGCCTCAGGGTACATTTCAAGGCTGGCGTCTCTGTGTTTGGGAACAGCTGGCAAAGGGCTCTTAACCTTGCTAGGGGTGTTGGTTCACTTGAGTTCCAAATGCTTTTAATTTCTCTCAAGGTAGGCGTCTCTCTCTTCTGCTTTCATGGAGAATTAAGTCTTGACACACTGGACTAAATTTGGGTGTTTAATAAAAGTACTCTGGAATCACCATGGATCTTAGAGCTGCAGTGTGGAGGGACAAGATTGTTGCCACCTTATTCCATCATCCTCAACAGCCCGACACTATCCAGGCACCATTAGCACCACTAGTCAAAATTAAGTTTTATTTCTTTTTTTTGCTTTGTTTTTTTGTTTGTTTGTTTGTTTGTTTTTGAGACAGGGTTTCTTTGTGTAACCTTTCCTAGAACTCACTCTGTAGCCCAGGTTGGCCTCGAACTCACAGAGATCTGCCTGGCTCTGCCTCCCGAGTGCTGGGACTAAAGGTGTGTGCCACCATCGCCCGGCTTTAAGTTTTATTTCTAAATATACTTGATTGCAAGATTATGGTCTGTTTCTCCTTTCTTACTTTTTTTTTTTTTAATTTTCACAGTTTTTTTTTTTCCCCTTTTCTCACTTGAAATGTGAACCTTGTCAGACTTACTCTGGAAGAACAATATTAAACCCCACTGTTTAATTCACAGACTGCTAAATATAAAAAAAGTAAGAAATCATCAACTATACCTAACTCTACCTGTGTGTTGCAAATAGTGTCTAAACTCTGAAATGGTCTAAGAAAGTCTGTCAAATTGGTGTTTTACAAACATTTCACAAAATATGTGATGTGTTCTTTTTAGTTAATATTGGAATGTGCATCAAAACATGCTATGGTTAAACAGATCGCCTTGGGCAGGAGAATGGCATAGTGAGTGGAATGTTTGTGGCACAGCTGTGAGGACCTGAGTTCCATTCCCCAATTTCATATAAGAGGAGAGAGTGGACATGGTGGCACACACTTCTAACCCTAGTCCTGGGGAGTCAGAGATAGGTGATCTTGTTATGCCCAGATTGTGACCCCAAAGATACCACTGAAGACCTTAGGTACAGAATGCAAAAGCATGGTTTATTTCTGTTTGTTTACAAGCCGCGGGCAGGGAAGCTTGATCCAAAGCACTCACTCGTAGTAACTGTGAGGCCAGGAGGAGCTTGCTTTTTCTTTGTGTGGCTAGCTTTTTAAAGGCAAAAACCACAAGCCCTTCAGGGGTAGTTGAGGGGGTTTTGCACTGGTGCAACTCAGATTGGTTTATTTTTATCTCTGTTCTCTTTTAATTGGGTAAGGGTATGTAACCTTTGAATTTACTGGTTGGTGGTTACAATTTATCACTTTGGGGGCAGTCCAGCTCAAGTCCCAGGCTTTGTCCTTGATCCACCATGGGGCCTGACTGGCCAAGCATGTACTGCACATAACTCTAAGTTGGTGAGGGGCCCCAGACAGTAAACATCTGGCTGAACTTTGAGCAGTCAGAGGACATGCAGAAAGGGAGCTACTGCAAGGACTATGTCTTTTGTTCATGACCCTCCCAGAAACTGCTTGCTTAAGTCTCAGGAAACTGAAATTGAGGCCTGATCTCTGAGAGAAGACTGAGCAGCCTGTTATGGCATCTGCTTGGTCCTTTCAATTTTACTGGCCAGCCAGTCTACCCAAATTGGTGAGTTCTAGGGTTAGTTAAAAAACCTGACTCAAAAAATAAGGTGTTGGGAGACTAAGGAAAATATGTGATACTGACCTCTCAACATACAAGCATAAATCACACATGTACACATACAATAGATTATCTTAGTTTCTCCTTCTGAATTTTTTAAAATTTACTTCAGGGATAAGGTCATAGATTCAGGGAATGAAATGAAAAAAAAAAAGAGGTTTTGTTTTGTTTTGTTTTAACACACCCTCTGAATGGCCCATTTAACTTTCCATATAACCCCCATATGAAAGCCCATTGATATGAAGTATCACCTTCAAGGATGCTACCTGAGTGCATCTTTTAAGGATTTCTTTCTTTTTTGTATGTGTATAGCATGTATGAATATGTGTGTATGCCTACTGACATGAATGTGGACTCACATGTGTGTTGAAATTTTGTTTACATTCCTGTGTGTACATGTGTATTATTATGTATAGAGTTCCGTGTATGGTGTTGAGAACATCTTCATTGATCATTCTCTCATACACTAAGGCAGGGTCCCTCACTGAACTCAGAGCTCACCTTTAAACCTTGACTAACTAGCCAGCTTGCTCTAAGGAGCTCCTATCTCCTTCTCTTCAACACAGGGATCACAGATAGAAGGCCACACCAACTCAGTTTTTAAGTAAATTCCTGGGATTCAAACTCTGGTTTTCATGCTTGTACAGGAAGCAGGGTCCACACTGAGTCATCTCTTCAACACCCTGATTTTTTTTTGTTGTTGTTGTTTTTTTTTACTACAGAGGTGGGGGGGGGGGGGGCTGGTGGAACTCATGGCCTGAGGCATACCTGAGGACATAAGTTCCTTCCTAACAGTTATAGCCTCAGGCTCATTTGGTTGTTTGCAGAGGTGTAAAGTTTGGTGTGCTTCAGTTTGTAATGTTTTTTAAAAGTAGGTGTACCAAACAACACAGACAGCACACAGTGTGGAACATCAATTTACTAGCACCCAAGAGATTTCTTTTACTTCAAGTTCACTTCAGGATAAGAACCTTTAAAAGACACCTTTGCAATAGACAGGAGAAAATCTCCCTGAACTAAAAATGCAATTTGTAGAGTTTCTGATCTGGCACCGAGTGGAACATTCATGAATGAGGCCACTGAGCAGCCACTTAGCAATGCCTCCTGATTTATTAACAAGCTGTGCTCCTGGCCACTAAATGATCAGGTGTGA